TGGACATTTCCCATATTCAGGGTGAAAGGTTAAAAACGCAGATATTACCCCTCCAACGCACACGATGCTTATGCAGGTGTTCCCTCGCCGTGGACACCGGCGCCGCGGTGACTCCGCTCGGAAAATCAATAACTCGGCGTTGTGTATGTGTACGTGCGTGTGCCACGTTCATCTTACCTTCGGCGTTGCGACGGCGGTGCGCCTGAGTCGGTTCTTTTGTGACGGAAGAAGGCTCAAACCGGGTAGAAACACGCGCGCGCGAGCGCACCGCTTTTCAAGCGCCACTTAATTTGCACGGCGCGCCGATTAGACGACAAATCGGGGCGCCGGCCGTGTGTATTCTGTTCTTTCGGCCGAACCTAAAGATAGATTTGCGACGCGGGAAGAAGTCAACGGCATTGCGCTTATCTGTTTTCGATTTCGCTAGCTATGACGAAAATATATCGCTGAGGTCGTGACATTTTATAAATATTCTTTGCAAATTGTACGACAGCGATATTTTGAGAGATGGATGATGATGTAAATTTCACGATAGGGATTTGAAAAAATCAGGAGTTGCGTACTTCATCGATCGCGACGATCGATTATATCATCGTAATGTGGAAAGTAAACATTTATCGCTCTGCGTAAATGGATAATTAGTACTGGACTTTTACCAGCGTCTCTGAAATATGAGTTTTGACCTTTAAACTCATCGCGATTACGGATCTAATTAGTTTTCGTGGAGATTCTCGAAAAGTAAAAAGTTGAAAACACATATCGATAATTTGCAATCTCTGTCGTTGAAAGAATGAAGAGCTTCGTATCTGCGTAATAAAATAAAGATTTCGAGGGCAGGTTAGATGTATTTAAACAACGGAATTCCGCTTTCGTGTGAGCGTCGAAGCAGCGCGAAGATACTCGGTGCACATAGAGACCGGCTGTTCTCGTCCCGATGCACAATGAGCTCCTTGTTTTCCATTTTTGCCCCGCTCATCAGCGAGCTCCTCACGACAGCACATACCCATTATATGTAATCGCAGTTGAAGCGTTTGCTGAAAAAAGGGCACGTACGATGGAAGAGCGCTGTGCTGAATCTTGTACTTTCCAATCAGCGATATTACTTCAACAGCTTGCGAAGAGAAACTTTTCACATCCGTATTATCGACACGTTTTATTGCATCATTAATTCAGTGGAGTGTTTAATGATCGCAGCGATAGATTGACCGATGAAGAATATGTCGTTACAAGTTCCTTGTTTTTCAGCAATCCAAAATTACTTTGATGAAAGCTTTTATAGCCTGTTGTTCTAAAAATCTCGTCTACGCCAACGCTTTTCTCGTTCCGTCGGCTTCTTTATGTACATTCTGCATATTCAATGCACCGTCATAATGGTGTGTGTGAAAGAAAAGAAAAGAAAGGAAAAGGAAGGGAAGGGAACGGTCAGTGCCTGCTCGGATATCGCTACGCTGAATAGAATCCATGTCTGAAAAGGGGCAAGTTTTTCATTTTAGCACATTCGCATCATTTTTATGTTACAAAATGAATGGAACTGAAACTTTCAAACATTATTGTTTGAAGTAGCGTAACGCGGTAAAGGACCCCGCACAAAACCACGGGAAATTGCATTTCGGTCAAATTTTTTGAAACTCTGGGGATCGATAGTTTATGATCCCCTGAGAAAAGTCTGTGAGTACGAAGCCCCACAAATCAAATGTTGGGCCTCCAGAATCATTGGAAGGGTCAAAAACTGCCAAAAATCGGTTTATTTTAAGTAAATGAGTTATCAACTGTACTGCTCTTACCTGCTTATCTGCGATTGTGTTCGAACATGTATGACAGTTAAAATATGTGAAAATGTGTATGTGTATAGGTGTGTGTGTGTGGTGTATATGTGTGTGCGTGCGTGTATGTATGTGCGTGCGTGAGTATTTAAATGGTAAGTTCAATTGTTTCTAAAATGTGATTAACATTTAAGTTACTCGTATCTAAGACACTTTCTAATACTTGGGTAGATGGATATCTAACATTACTTAAAATAAACGGTTTGTTGGCAGTTTTTGATCCTTCCAATGATTCTGGAGGCCCAACATTTGATTTATGGGGCTTCATACTCACAGACTTTTCCCAGGGGATCATAAGCTATCGATCCTCAGAGTTTCAAAAAATTTGACCGAAATGCAATTTTCCATGGTTTTATGCGGGGTCCTTTACAAAATTGCTGCGATCGGAAGAAAAATATAAATTGCCTATCTAAACAGGAGTTATTTAAAACTTAGTATTTTAGGGATGGAATTTGTTATTTTAATGGTCGAATATGCGCGTGCACTTTGAGAATAAAACTTTTCTCGAAAGTTATCGTGCACTTTTGTAGATTCTTTCTGAGAAACGTGATTTGGAGCCTGCATTCTATCGCTTCTTAGGTGCAGAAGTATAGAAAGCGTCGCCAGTAAATTTGACCTTCCTCGATTATCGTGTCATTCACTTTGTGATTCATTTCACTCCGCCCACTGGATACGAAGGCATTAATCTGTACACGTTCCCACTATGTCGGCCATTAAGTATGACGGCACTCGCGTAATTGCTCTTAATTCACCGTAAGTGACTGTCCAGACATTTAAGAATGCCATTCATGCTCGCGTTGTTCGGACCTTCAACGTCGCTCGAAAGGGAGACGCGATTTCCATGCGATCGATCTGTTATTTCAAAGTGTGAAGTTCAAATGAGCTCTCGATGCTATCTGCGAGAAAATATTCTATTTAGAAATAATATCCTTAATGCACCTTTTCTTTTAAGTAAATACACAACAAATTAATGTCGATAGCATGATTTAATACGTTTTTTTTTTTAAATGTGTCAATGAGTTTCAATATTGTTCGCTGATGATAAAGAATTAATAGAATTAGCGAAATAAAGGTGGAAATTGTAATCGCAGAGAGTTTTTCATTCCAGGAGATTAATGTAATCGCGGACAGTGTTTGCGTTCCGGCTACTATGAGTTATTTCTACCCAATGTCGTATTCATTATTAAGTAACCCATATTGGTTTACTGTAGTTTACCTTGAATTTGTTTGCACGCACTATGGATGTGCGCTATGCGTAACGCGCCGACGTTACCTGTGACATTCGGTCCATTGAAAAATGATGTTATTGTAACCGCTCGTGCAGCTGCAGCTGCAACCGTTCGCAGTGAACGTTATCAGTATTAATCAGTAAACATCGCCCGCGACGGACCGTCATAAATTAGACAGAGCGTTTAATTAGGCGTAGCTCTAAATTATGCCGCCCGTTTTAATATTGAATCATGTGAGCGACGATATTTCGTGTTTGTTTGTAAGTTCAGTACAAAGAACTTGTTTGATCAATTAAATAATTTATATCCGTTACGTGACGTAAGCGAATTCTTGATATTTCTTATTCAGACTATTTTATAAATAAAAAACCTATCAGCACATTGTGTCTTTTCACGAAAACTTTGTATACATTTAAATTACATGAAAAATAGACTGTTTTCGATAAAAATTATTTACAATTTTAACACAAATTTAAAAAACTTAAGAAATTTTGATCTCAAAAATTCAATACTTTGTGGAAAGAGCGTGCGTTTACCTTCCCGTGTTTAGCTACCTTCGCGGGGCCCGATGCGACGCCGATGCGACGTGTGTATTTCGCGTGTGTGACATCATTCGCATGATGTAATCATGGTGAGCGAGGCGGTGCGTCTCCCACGCGGAGGCGAGCACGTAACACGTTATTAAATGGACACACATCGAGTTGGGTACACTTCATGGGCGCGTTTATAGTACACACGATACTACCTTCTTGATATCCGGTGACCCCGCAAACTTAACGATTACGGCGGTGCAATTAGCCAGCGGCGGAGACACATTGATAAGGTCTGAACAAAAAATTGAAAACGTGGCAGAAGATGGATTCGCGCTCGGGACGATGCTTGCGACACAATAACTTCTTTACATTTTTATGACACGACGTTTTTAGAATTTGAAATCAACGGCGTCCTTCGCGGAATGGCACGATCGGGAAGAAGGTGAGAAGATTCCACGTGTAAAAGGAAAATGTGGAATAAAATTTTATCCTCTTCTCGGTTGTATCATTTGTCGCGCGGGGCGCCGTGCACACATGACGTGTGGGTGTTAATTTAAGGAAATATGTCTTATTAAATGTTCCAATAATAGATCTGACGTGTAAGATTTTTATTACACGATGATATCCATAAATAAGGCAGTAAAACTTATTTATCGCAGCTTTTCTCAAAACGGATTTGCGCGGTTATCATTATTTACTCTCAGATACTATGATTTTTGTGAAAAGACATATCTATATCGTACTGTAAGACTGTACACATACAGAATGCTGAAAAGGAAGCGTGCAAAAAGTTAAGAGTGTGTTATTGAATTATTTCAGTAAGATTTAAGACTTGCTAAAATAGCTGTATTAAAAATTAAAAGTTGTGCTAAGGAAAAATTTACTTCATTAATCAAATAATAAATTATTGAATTTTTGATGATTTTTTTCATTTTTACACTGTGAGATGTGTACAATTGCAGTCATTGAAGTTACGTGTTGCGTAACTTGTTTAAAGTCTTTTTATTGTTTACTTAATTATTAAGCATCGTTAGATCTGTCATACGCGCAAAAAGAAGATAAGATTACCATGCAATTCTTATCTGCACGTAAAAATTGTCTAACACGGCAACGGGCTGACCGTAGCTCGCCAACGGCACGTTCCGTGCACCGCATTGTTGCTTACCATTGCGCTGCGTAGGCAACAAAAGGAAGAAATTCCTATGATTATTACGTTCTCATTTATTTTATGCGTGGTCCCACGCTTCCCGGACTTACGATCGAAGGTTTAAAAGAAACACAATGTTTGCGATAAAAATTTAATTTGTTTTCAGAAAACAAATTTTTTTTATTGAATGCCGAAAATAACTCGAAAGAATTTCTTCGACGATATTTTGACGCCGAGCAAACTGAATAATTCCTGCGATATTTTTCAGGTGCACCCTTTTTAAGGGTTAAGCAGAAGTGAGCTGTTGGTCCGATTGACAAAATGACGACCGACATCTCGGTGGTGCGCGGGGGTTGGGACCCTACGCTGCAGCAAGAGATTGTCGACGAGTACGAATACGACGGGGGAAACTCGAGCTCGAGACTTTTTCGAACGCTCACGCATCAAGGCATTAGCTGGTACGAAACTTTGTCCAGAATTTTTTTTGATCGTTTCGCAAATTGATGTTTCATATGTGTAATCGTCTCTTATTACAATCGTTTTTTTTTTTCCGAAAAGTAAAAGAAAGTTTGATCTATTAATTTTATAATAAATGTTCTATTTTATAATATTATTTCGTAATGAATGACGTTTAAAAATAAAACTGTAAGTCTCCATTAAAGTATTTTGCGTTAGAATCAACCAACCACATCCTTTTGATAATCGGTTGAAGAATTTGATAAACTCCAAGTAGTTGCTTTCAAGTAGTTGCTTCTCAGACTAGATTGAGTCGAGATATGTAACTGTGTGTTGAAATATGTGCATTACGTGAATCTGTTGGAAACATTATTAGTGTATATTTATAATTTACCAGACAACAGTAATGTCGATCGTTTAAAGATACTAAAAATGTGTTTGTGCTGCTGAATTTAAAGATGAATTATGATAAAGTTGTATTCGATCTTCGAGGTATAAATCTTACATTAATCATCCAAGGCTTATTTCTTAATTTTATCTTAATTATTATCGATATCGAATAACGTTTATTGCATAATTCTGTTATATCTGAAATTAAAATTGAGTTAATATGACGTGTTTTAATGAAACATTGACCGACATTAAAATTGCCGTGATTTTTTCAGGTGAGCGTGAATTAGTGCAAAAGAAGACTTTCCAGAAATGGGTCAACTCCCACTTAGTCCGATGCTCGTGCCGAATCGGCGATCTGTACGCCGATCTGCGGGACGGCAAGATGCTGATAAGGCTCTTGGAAATCCTGTCGGGTGAGCGCTTGCCGCGCCCCACCAAGGGCAAGATGCGCATCCATTGCTTGGAGAACGTGGACAAGGCTCTGCAATTCCTGCGCGAGCAGAGGGTGCATCTGGAGAACATGGGTTCCCACGACATCGTCGACGGGAATCCGCGTCTGAGTTTGGGTCTTATCTGGACGATAATCCTGCGATTCCAGATTCAGGACATCACGATCGAGGAGACGGACAATCAGGAGACCAAGTCCGCGAAAGACGCGCTACTGCTGTGGTGCCAGATGAAGACCGCGGGTTACCACAACGTGAACGTGAGGAACTTCACGACGTCGTGGCGGGACGGGCTGGCATTCAACGCGATCATCCACAAACACCGTCCGGACTTAATTCAATTCGATAAGCTCTCGAAATCGAACGCGATACACAATCTCAACAACGCGTTCAACGTCGCGGAGGACAAGCTCGGTCTCACGAAACTCCTGGACGCCGAGGACATCTTTGTCGATCATCCGGACGAGAAGTCCATCATAACGTACGTCGTCACGTACTACCATTACTTCTCGAAGATGAAGCAGGAAACTGTGCAGGGTAAGAGAATCGGCAAGGTGGTCGGCATCGCGATGGAGAACGACCGTATGATAAACGAATACGAGAGCCTTACCAGCGACCTGCTGCGCTGGATCGAGGCGACGATCGAGGCGCTCGGCGATCGCAGGTTCGCGAACTCTCTGGTGGGCGTGCAGTCGCAGCTCTCGCAATTCTCCAACTACCGCACGGTGGAGAAGCCGCCGAAATTCGTGGAGAAGGGCAATCTCGAGGTGCTGCTGTTCACTCTGCAGTCGAAGATGCGCGCGAACAATCAAAAACCGTACACGCCGAAGGAGGGCAAGATGATATCCGACATCAACAAAGCTTGGGAGAGGCTGGAGAAGGCTGAACACGAGCGGGAATTGGCTCTTCGCGAGGAACTGATTCGGCAAGAGAAGTTGGAGCAGCTGGCAGCTAGATTCAACCGCAAGGCCAGCATGCGTGAGACATGGCTGTCGGAGAATCAACGACTGGTGGCGCAGGACAACTTTGGCTTCGATCTCGCCGCCGTGGAAGCCGCCGCCAAGAAGCACGAGGCTATAGAGACCGATATATTCGCTTACGAGGAGCGCGTGCAGGCCGTTATGGCGGTCTCCCAGGAGCTCGAGGCGGAAAACTATCACGACATCGAGCGCATTAACGCTCGCAAGGACAACGTCCTGCGACTGTGGAACTATCTTCTCGAATTGCTCCGCGCTAGGCGGATGCGATTGGAATTGTCGCTGCAGCTGCAACAGAACTTCCAGGAGATGCTGTACATTCTCGACAGCATGGAGGAGATCAAGATGCGATTGCTGACGGACGATTACGGCAAGCATCTCATGGGCGTGGAGGATCTTCTGCAGAAGCACTCTCTTGTCGAGGCGGATATCAACGTCCTCGGCGAGAGAGTCAAAGCCGTCGTGCAACAGAGCCAGAGATTCCTAGAGCATGGAGACGGCTATCGACCGTGTGACCCGGCCATCATCGTCGAACGCGTGCAACAACTGGAGAACGCGTACGCCGAACTGGTCCGGCTGGCGATCGAGCGTCGTACCAGGCTCGAGGAGTCTCGGAAACTCTGGCAATTCTACTGGGATATGGCGGACGAGGAGAATTGGATAAAGGAGAAGGAGCAAATTGTATCGACGGGCGACATCGGCCACGATCTCACCACCATCAATCTGCTGCTCTCCAAGCACAAGGCACTGGAGAACGAGATACAGTCGCACGAGCCGCAGCTGATGACTGTCGCCGCGGTCGGCGACGAGCTGGTTCGCCAGCAGCATTTCGGCTCGGATCGCATCCGAGAGAGGCTTCAGGAGATCCTCGCCATGTGGAACCATCTGCTGGATCTCGCGGCTTTCCGAAGAAAGCGACTCGAGGAGGCGGTCGACTATCACCAGCTCTTCGCGGACGCGGATGATATAGATATCTGGATGCTGGATACTCTGCGACTCGTTTCATCGGAGGACGTCGGCAGAGACGAGGCGAACGTGCAGTCGTTGCTGAAGAAACACAAGGACGTAACGGACGAGCTCAAGAACTACGCCGCGACTATCGAGCAGCTTCACCAGCAGGCATCCTCTCTGGGCGAGCAAGATGCCAAGTCGCCGGAGGTTCTGGAGAGGCTGACTTCGATAGACAACAGGTACAAGGAGCTTCTCGAGCTCGCCAAGCTACGGAAGCAGCGGCTGTTGGACGCCTTGTCGTTGTACAAGGTGTTCAGCGAGACCGACGGAGTCGAGCAGTGGATCGGCGAGAAGAACAGGATGCTGGACACAATGGTGCCCGCCAAGGATATCGAGGACGTCGAGATCATGAAGCACCGCTACAACGGTTTCGAGAAGGAGATGAACGCGAACGCGTCCCGCGTCGCCGTCGTCAATCAACTTGCCAGGCAGCTGCTTCACGTCGAGCACCCGAACTCGGAACAGATAATCGCGCGGCAGAACGAGCTGAATCAGAAGTGGGCCGAGCTGCGCGAGAAGGCGGAGGGCAAGCGCGAGGAACTCAACTCCGCGCACGGCGTGCAGACATTCCACATCGAGTGTCGCGAGACCGTGTCGTGGATCGAGGACAAGAAGCGAATTCTCCAGCAAACCGACAGCCTGGAGATGGATCTGACCGGCGTGATGACGCTGCAGCGCAGACTGAGCGGCATGGAGCGCGATCTGGCAGCGATCCAGGCGAAGCTGGACGCACTGGAGAAGGAAGCGGAGATCATACAGAAAGAACATCCGGAAGAGGCGGCCGTGATACGCGAGAGGATCGCGCAGATCCATCTGATCTGGGAGCAACTGACGCAGATGCTGAAAGAGCGCGACGCGAAGCTCGAGGAGGCTGGCGACCTCCATCGATTCCTGCGCGATCTCGATCACTTCCAGACGTGGCTCACGAAGACGCAGACCGACGTTGCCAGCGAGGACACGCCGACCAGTCTCGCCGATGCCGAGAAGCTTCTCACGCAGCATCAGAATATCAAGGAGGAGATCGACAATTACACCGACGATTATCAGAAGATGATGGAGTACGGCGAGCGGCTGACGTCGGAGGCTGGCGACGGCGACACGCAGTACATGTTCCTGCGCGAGCGGCTCAACGCGCTCAAGATGGGCTGGGAGGAGTTACATCAGATGTGGGTGAATCGTCAGAACCTGCTGTCCAACTCTCTGAATCTGCAGGTGTTCGATCGCGACGCGCGCCAAGCGGAAGTGCTGCTGTCGCAGCAGGAGCACATCCTCGCCAAGGACGAGACACCGGCGAATTTCGAGCAAGCGGAGCACATGATCAAGCGACACGAGGCTTTCATGACCACCATGGACGCGAACGACGAGAAGATCAATTCCGTCGTGCAGTTCGCCGGACGTTTGGTCGATGAGGGACACTTCGCAGCCGACAAGGTGAAGAAGAAGGCCGAGAACATCAATGATCGTCGACGAATCAATCGCGATAAGGCGAATCAGCTTATGGAGAAGCTCAAGGATCAGCTTCAGCTGCAGATGTTCCTGCAGGATTGCGAGGAGCTCGGCGAATGGGTGCAGGAGAAACATATCACCGCTCAGGACGAGACTTACAGAAGCGCGAAGACCATTCACAGCAAGTGGACTCGTCATCAAGCATTCGAGGCGGAAATCGCGAGCAACAAGGACCGCCTGCAGCAGTTGCAGCAGGCCGCGGACGAGTTGATACAGCAGAAGCCGGACCTCGCCGAGATCATCAAGCCGAAGGTGACCGAACTGGCGGAGCAATTCGTCGAGCTGGAGACAACGACGCACGACAAGGGCGAGAGACTGTTCGACGCGAATCGCGAAGTATTGATACATCAGACTTGCGACGACATCGATTCCTGGATGAACGAGCTGGAAAAGCAGATAGAAAGCACGGACACCGGCTCCGATTTGGCGTCGGTGAACATACTCATGCAGAAGCAACAGATGATCGAGACGCAAATGGCGGTGAAAGCGAAACAGGTGACCGAATTGGACAAACAGGCGGAACACCTGCAGCGCACCGTGCCCGACGACAAGATGGAAGAGATCAAGTGCAAGAAAGAGAAGGTCGCCCAGAGATTCGCGCAGCTCAAAGCGCGCTGATCGATCGCCAGCGGCATCTCGAGAAGAAGAAAGAGGCCTTCCAATTCCGGCGCGACGTCGAGGACGAGAAGCTGTGGATCGCGGAAAAGATACCGCAGGCGACCAGCCCCGAATACGGTAACTCGCTGTTTAACGTTCACATGTTGAAGAAGAAGAATCAGTCGTTGCGCACGGAAATCGAGAACCACGAGCCGAGAATCAATCTTGTGTGCAACAACGGGCAGAAACTGATCGACGAGGGACACGAGGACAGCCCCGAGTTCCAGAAACTGATATCCGAACTGACGGAGAAATGGCGCGAGCTGAATCACGCGGTCGACGACAGGAACAAGCATCTGCTGCAGAACGAGAAGGCGCAGCAATACTTCTTCGACGCCACCGAGGCGGAGTCGTGGATGAGCGAGCAGGAGCTCTACATGATGGTCGAAGATCGCGGCAAGGACGAGATTTCCGCCCAAAATCTGATGAAGAAGCACGAATCGCTGGAGCACGCGGTGGACGATTACGCGGACACGATCCGCCAGCTCGGCGAGACCGCTCGGCAGCTCATAAACGATCAGCATCCGCTGGCCGATCAGATCTCCGTGAAGCAATCGCAGGTGGACAAACTGTACGCCGGCTTGAAAGATCTGGCGGGTGAGCGACGCGCCAAATTAGACGAGGCGCTGCAGCTGTTCATGCTGAATCGAGAGGTCGACGATCTCGAGCAATGGATCCAGGAAAGGGAACTGGTTGCCGGCAGCCACGAGCTAGGTCAGGATTACGATCACGTGACTCTGCTGTGGGAGAGATTCAAGGAATTCGCCCGCGACACCGAGGCGATCGGTTCCGAGCGGGTGGAGGCTGTGAACGGCATCGCCGATTCGCTGATCGCCACCGGGCATTCCGACGCGGCGACGATCGCCGAATGGAAAGACGGGCTGAACGAGGTCTGGCAAGATCTGCTCGAGCTAATCGAGACCCGCACGCAGATGCTGGTGGCCAGTCGCGAGCTGCACAAGTTCTTCCACGATTGCAAGGATGTTCTCAGCAGAATCCTGGAGAAGCAGAACGCCATGTCGGACGAGCTTGGCCGCGACGCCGGCTCGGTGTCGGCCCTCCAACGTAAGCACGCTAACTTCATCCAAGACTTGACCACATTGCAGAGCCAGGTTACGCAGATCGAAGAAGAATCCGCCAAACTGCAAGCCAGCTACGCCGGCGATAAAGCGCGGGAAATCACGAATCGTGAGGCCGAGGTCGTGGCGGCGTGGAACAATCTGCAATCGCTGTGCGACGGTAGGCGAACCAAATTGGAGGACACCGGCGATCTCTTCAGATTCTTCAACATGGTTCGGACTCTGATGATCTGGATGGACGATGTCGTACGTCAGATGAACACGTCCGAGAAACCGCGCGACGTCGCCGGCGTCGAATTACTCATGAACAATCATCAAAGCTTGAAGGCGGAAATCGACGCCAGGGAGGATAATCTAATGGCGTGCATTAATCTCGGCAAGGATTTACTCGCTAGAAATCATTACGCTAGCGTGCAGATAAAGGAAAAACTTGCAGCACTGACCGATCACAGAAACGCGCTGTTGCACCGATGGGAGGAACGTTGGGAGAACTTGCAGCTCAGTAAGTTACCCGAAAATATATTTCCATTTTATAGTTGTCATGTAACTTAATTCTCAAATTATTATATTATATTTTTTTTAATCTTTGAAACACGGTAAACTAAGAAATTAATAAGGTGCAAAATTCAATAATACACTGTATTTAATATTTCATATTTATTATATCTAATATTTAATACTTGCCACAGTTCTGGAAGTCTATCAATTTGCTCGAGATGCGGCGGTTGCTGAAGCATGGTTAATTGCTCAAGAACCATATCTTATGAGCCAGGAACTCGGTGTAAGTAATGATTTTTGGGTGTAAATTTAAAATCTTTCAATTGTGTGAATAAATTTCTTTAAAAAAAATTGCAATTTCTGCAGCACACTATCGACGAAGTTGAAAATTTGATCAAGAAACACGAGGCTTTCGAAAAATCGGCAGCTGCGCAAGAAGAAAGGTTTAGTGCCTTGCACCGACTTACTACTGTAAGTAGCTACATAGTTTCTTCATAATTAAGAAAGGTTATAACAAAAATTTTTCAAAAATCTCAGAACTTTCTATCGTAATGCAAACATGCTATTTAAATGCTCAGAATTGCTGTGCAGTCATTACGGTTTTGATATGCAAAAATTAATACTTTCCGTCTTCTTAACGCAGTTCGAGCTGAAAGAATTGAAACGACGGGAGCAAGAAAGAGAGGAAGAGGAAAGACGCAAGAAGGAAGAGGCGGCAGCGGCGGAAGCCGCACGTTTGGCCAAGGCAACGCCCGTCACTAGTCCAGACGAACCACCTAGCGAAAGGTAATGCATAAATATCTTATCGTGAATATATTTTACGATGACACAAATCTATTCATGAACGTATTTCGTTTGCAGAGCTGAAACCGACGGAGCAACGAGTGGTGAACGCGGAGAAGACGAGGGACACGGTAATACAACTGCATTTAACGATTATGTTTTGGGTTTACTAATCGAAACTATAATGACTTTTCACGCATCTAATTCTACGATTTTGCATTCTGTTTGATGATGCTAATATTGAGTAACGCGGTATTTAACGCACATTATTTAGAATATAAATGTCGAGTGCTTTTTTCTAACGAGTAATAGTGTTCGCACAGTTGTTGACTCGGCGTGCTAACGATTGCGGACGATAGTAATCTCGTAAACTGAAAGGGATTGAAAAGCAGATCAAGTTTAGTATATCAATGTTATTTCTTACGATCTAATAATTCTAATTCTTCTAATAATCGATACACAGCGTGAAATCTTGCTTTTGACGTAAAGTTTAACTCTGTCGACTGGTCATTACGAACATGGTTGTTTGAGTAAGCATGACATCGCTAACAGCACGTTTATTTTTGCCTTCTCCCGCCCATGCCGAAATCTACTCCGATCCTTGTCTAATCCGTCGTCCGTGTCATCCCGTGTCTCCGAAATGCACCCTAAATGCGACACGGATTGCACGAACTACAGTGGCACATCGCAAGGCTTCCACACGTACACCACAGCCTCAAGACAAGCCCAAGGAAGGTGAGTGTTACGTGATACGCATAAAGTCTTGTCGAAACGTAAGGGTTAACTTCTCTCTCTCTCTCTCTCTACAAACTTTCCGTAGTCTCGATCATATATTATTGTACAGGTTCTTATAGTTTTTCGAACTGGTGACGGATGGATAATGGATGATCGAATCACATCTTCATAGCAGTACTTAACGATCTTTGCTCATCGAATTCACGTTAAATCACACACGCTAACTTTACATCTTTCAGCTCGTCGCACTTATCGCGCCTCTCACCTACACAAATCACTGTTCATTTGCTCCTATTAATTTTTCTCTAACAGGTGGCGGCCGTTACTTTGCGCAAGATGCTCCCTTCTTCATTTATCACGAGTCGCCTGGCATTTCAGTCATTTCGTGCGAATCGAGTATTTCGAATAACATACATGATATATATTTTATATGCACATGATACAGGAATAACTTTTTATACACATTAGGATACGTCGAGCGACATTCTAATTATAATTGTCATACTAACCCGTTGCGCACCATTTTATTCATACTGCTGATCTGGTATGTACATATTGGAATTATATTGCATTTCATTTTGCCCGTCGATTACGTTAACCCACGTAGAAAGGCAATGCCTAAAATACCTCGTTGAAAGGTAAGCGCACACGGAATCTTCATCATTCTAGAAACACGAATTTATGTTCTGTTCATTTGTGTACGTGTGTGTATAAATTTATTCAAAAATATTCGTCTAATATATACTTACATCGTCACGAATTATATTATCGTTATAAAATCATCAGGCTCATGTGATTAATTGTACAATGATTTCGGCGAAATTTTTCATTTCCGTTTCGACAATGGTTTTTGACTCAAAGACACGCCTTCGCGTTATTAATGATTAAAATAATCGGTACTGGTATAATTGTGTACATAAACGTGCGTCTAACATTATAAGATTTATACCTGAGTAATATATAGCATGATTTTGTGATTGGTGTGGTGTAGTGCATGCACAAAAACCTAGACAACTGTCTTTCCGGGAAGGAGGAGGGACTTCGCCTGTCGCACCAATCTCTGCCAAAACTCCGCCGCATGGTCCTCGCACACCGACAAGTAAGTGTTCGCAAGTGGTGTGCTCAAATTATACGTTGTAAAATTGTTTGTCAATACTTATCAATCGCGATTAGTTCTTTCACGCAGACTGTGTATTTAATGAAAGGTTCAGTTATAAACGAGAATTCTCAAATATTCAGCCGAAATAGAGTAAGCGAAGTTGAACAGTAAACTTTTACAAATCACAAGATTTCGTAAACCAAACTTTTCTCCATACGATCATTTTGTAATTATAACTCTCGCGATGAATTGAATTTCCTCTATTTGTTACATTTCGTTCGACAAGCTCATTTCGCTCATTTGACATCTGCATGAGCATGTTGCATGAGTATCCTCGTATATATTCTGTGTACATAGTTGGAGGGCACGGAAAAAAGTAATAGCATATTGGATGTCAGGACTGTTAGCGAGAAATTGTTTACCTGATGAATTCTCTGCTACAAGCTAGGTGTCAGGGTACAGAGTAAGTAGCTAATAAATGTTATGTGTGTTGCGTTACGTCGTTAAGCCCCGAAAGGAAGCGGCTCCGAGTCTGCTTTAAGGCGTAAGGAACGCAGCCGCAGCAAGTCGCCGTTCAGGAGCTTCCGCTGGAGAAAGTCCGCCAAGTCGCCGAGCTTAGATCGCAGTGGCGTGAGTGATGATGAGCATAGTATTCCCGGTGAGTGAAGACAAAGAGACTTACGGCGATCAAACGGTAGTTTAGATCTTACATGTTTTGTGCTCGTTCGACGTCGGATGTATTTTCTGTTTATTTTTTTTTTTCTATTTACACAATTCTGTGTTACTCTGCAATTCTTTGTAGCAGCTTCCATTTACAGCCGAGACGTCGAAGTATAAGAAACGAACTCGTATGACACTTTGCAATAAATGACGCTCCTATTCGAGAAATATGATATTCGATAACATTTCTTCATGTATTCGAATTTTGTATTTTGTGAATTTTGGAATTACAAATTGCTATCGAAATCATCGTTATTGGATATTCAGGCGGAAGCTCAGGTCTTTCATCATTTGTATTCGACAACTAATTGCTTCACTAATTGATCATGCTTCACTTTCAGTTATACTTTAAGCGCGCAAAGGTTCCTAATGATTACTTCATCGATATACTGTATTAAAGAAGTGAGCTGCGATAATTATATGTTTTCCATTGGCCTTGAATGTAACTAACGAAGGGATGGATAATTGGGGATGATATTTCGGTTGCAAACGCTGTTACAAACACGAATCAGCGTTCATCGATTGTCGAGGAGCTCGCAAATATCCTCTTAATTGAAGCATAACGGAGAGTTGGTGAAGTCGATAAGATTTGGACGGCGATATTCTATTAAGCGCATGTTGTAACTAACTCTCGTAATAATAATAAATCATTGATTATTTTCAGCTTTTATCATCTGCGCAAAGTAAGGAATGCAGGCAGGCGTTATTGCTCTTTTATACAATTCATAATGCATTTCGTAGAAAATCGCTCCGAATGGCGGATAATAGCAGTTCTGTTACATTTTGCAGAACAACGAAGTCCGAGCGACGACGAGTTCGAGGGGCCGTTGCAGCGGAAGCACGAGTGGGAAAGTACGACGAAGAAGGCGTCCAACCGATCCTGGGACAAGGTGTACATGGTCGTACGCGGACAGAACTTATGTGTATATAAAGACCAGAAGTCGTACAAAGCTTCGCCCGATCAAGCGTACAAAGGAGAGGCTCCTCTCGACTTGCGAGGCGCGACTATTACTGTAGCGAGTGATTACACTAAGAAGAAACATGTCTTCCGAGTCAAGTCAGTGCTGAGTGCAGACCTCATGTCAGCTAACAACAGTCGATTGACGTAAATGTAAATCGCTCCTCCCTTCTTTCGTAGGTCGCAAAGCGGATCCGACTTCCTGTTCCAGGCCAAAGACGACGCCGAAATGAACGACTGGGTGTCCGTGCTAAATCAAGCGGCGCAAGGAACATCAGGCGCCGGCACATCAAGGGCCCACACTTTGCCCGCTCCGACACAAGCCGAAACTAAGCGGCGTAGTTTCTTCACTCTCAAGAAAAAGTAAGTGTTGATTGGGAGATTTTGTTAACGTAACGCCAAGAAATTTAAGATAATGTGGACACTCTCGATCAGTGGCGCGAGATTTTCAAGTAAAACCAAAGAGTTTCTGTAGGTTTTACAGAGTTCGCGAATGAGATATTCTTATATTGTAATAACATTATAGATCCATAATTGACTTTTAACAATATTACGAATATTTATATTATAAATATGAATTATTGAGTTTTGCAGCATTTCCAATCAAGACGCGTACTACTATTGTACATAAGGTGTGCCTGTTATTTTATTATTATTTTGCTTCATCCTTTTTGAACATGTCCCAGTGAATCTAATAGAGAATATTCTGTTAGCAATAAAACAATTATGCATTTATCATCTTCCATTACTTTACATATTTTTAACAATATCTCCTCACATTCTGTACTCCTTACATTCCCGTCGGCAGCACTAACTTTTCTAAAAATAATGTCCTTCTTGGTCTTCGACTCATCACTTCAAGGTGTTATTTTAATCGAACAGTAAATGATAATCGATATCTCATCGTGGCTATCATAGACGTCATTATTCATCGTCATTATCATTCACGAGTGACGGACGATCCGTCTTTTGCAAACCGAGAGAGATACCCTCACTCCTCCAAACGAAATGCACTTCATCGACCCTATCGTATTCGATCATATTGCATTTATCATATTTTAGAAAAGCCAAAAAGTAGAAAGCGAAACCAATGAACGTATGAAACAGTACACAATTGGAACAACATTTAGAAATGCGGTGAGTCGCACATCCTAGACATCATTTTACCGTCGTAACTACTGCACGATTAATCTCGATCATTCCAATTTTTTTTTTACATTTTTTTATTTAGTTATGATTAGCTTCTGGAAAATACAACAGGAATGTTCTTCCAATTGTGAATGCGGAATGATTACGTGAAACAAGAGAGATTTGGATGTGTAGAGCTTTCTGTGTTTCATATGCAGCTAAAAGAGATCGCGTCATTGCAGAAACAATCTGAGAAATTCTTTTTATTACGCAAAACTCTGCAGATTTTACAGATCAAGATTCTCATACAGTAACGATAGAGTTTTATGTGAGACACAATTGTTCTCTACGCCATACAGGTGCTTGTTATATTCGCATAATCTATCGCTTTTATTTTACTTTTTTTTTTTTTTTTTTGCATAAGATAGTGTGCTATGTAGATATTCAGATCACTGTGTATTATTGTTCAATTCTATATTGTAGCTATATATTTTTCATCACCGCTTCTGACATCGTCATTTATTCTTCACGCTTTTTCTGCTATCAGAATATTCCCAGGAATTTTATCGTAGAGATAACGCACACGCGTCTATTTCGGATGCGTGCGAGACACGTATTTTACGTGTTGCGGTTCCTTGAAGACGGAGCGCTTGATATTTCTATTAGATTATAAATGATATAATTTTTACGATGCGTTGATTGTTGGTAGTAATTCCTTGGTAACGTATGTGTTTCATGAATAATGTATAAACGCATAAGAGCTACAATCGTTGAAATAGGACAAGTACGGTGTATACTTTTCTTTTCCAGTAATTTTATTCTAATCTAAATTTTAATTTTGCTAATATTATAAATTTGATTTCGCAACTTCTCAAATATGATTCTGGGAAATTGTAAAGCGCATCTTCATGATTTACCAAAGTCTTAGCTGATTTCCTGTAAATATATCCCTTTCTCTTGTAATCTCGCCATTGTATATATGGTATATACTGAATTGTAAAACAAGAACGGTAATTGGAAATGGCAGTTATAGAAATGGATTGTGCCAGCGATGAAATACTCATCACCTTTCACGTTTGCTAATTTTCAGCTAAACTGGAGCAGTGAAGTACGGCGTAAGCCGCTCGTAATGCGTCTGCACAACATCGTGTTTATGAGAAATGTTTCGTCGCTCTACATGGTTAAAGCAACGCTAATATAAAATTAGAAGACATGGCCACATGGTGTTATGAAATAAATTGAAGGATTGAACGGGTCTTTGAAAACGCCTACGTTCGAAGAACGGAGATATTTAACGGTTATATATGTTGATATTTACAAGTGTAGGCTATTGAAAGTCTAATTAAATTAGTTCTTCAATGAATTTTGGACACTTTGCAATATCGCTAGTTGAAGAACATGCGAGACATTTCATGTCCCACGTTAGCGTGATCAGACTTTTGACATGGGATTTAATTCGGTCACATTTGCGTGTATACATTAAGTCATGTATTCAAGTGCACGATCATTTCCTCTTGTCATTCGATGAAACAAACGATGTCTTCTTTACAAAATATTCTATAAGTTTCCGCAAAAACCTGTTTTTACATTGAGAGGAAAAAAACACTTCGTCCAACAGAAGACAAGCTTAATCCGTTGGGTTTGCAAAGAACGTAGGTTGGAGGAGATATATCTTAATCACGGTTTATAACGACGTATAATTACTCTACACGATGATCTCGGATTTATGACGAGTTGATTTTAACGCATTTTGCATTGCATTTTATTGCCGATTCTCGTGTTATTGAAGAGATATAGTCTCCAGCGATGTTGAAAGGAGGACGAGAACGATTCCAGCCGTGTCGGTTGCTTAGGATATATCACTTTCATTATTCATATTATTGCAACGCAGTATTTTACTTCTTTTCTTGCAAACGTGTCGGTTTGCGTTTAAATGACTGCCATATATTTTAAGAACCACACTAACTTGGGACATAATATTATATAAACTAGCTTTTAACAAATTGTTATGCAGCGCCCTAAGGAAAAATCGCATTGAAGAATTATAAAGAAAATGTAATAACTAACAAGAGAGTTTCCCCCTACCCTTATATGAATCCCAAAATATCACAATTCTCTGCAGAATTGAAAGAGTATTTAAAATTCTTAAACTCGTGCAAATGATACAGTTTGTGTCAAGTGAGCGCTTACGGTAAATCATTATAGCCGTGTTATATCACTGTCGCAAATCACTTTGTAACTCACTTGATATCAACTTGACATTTGGCGTGACGCGCGGACTATATATTACTCTTTTGTAATTGTTAACTCTTTTTTTTTTTTTAAATATTTATCACGTTCTTATCATCTTATTTCCTAGAGTATAAGTCTCTATTGTGAAGTTCTCAGAGCTCTTTTGCTTCGAAATTTTTTAGTTTAGCGTACCTTGGAAATTATAATGGTTTTACGAGAGAATTTTACAGACAATTTTATTCGTTTTCCCAACTCAATGCGACTCGACCAAACTCGATCCGATATACTTTGTCTCTTGGGAATGTAAGCCTTTTTTAGCGATAGCGTCTTCTGACTCATGTTTCAATATTTGGAATGTCTAAGTTTTCGTAATGTAATCGCATCGTCAACTACGCTTATTCAAAAACTTGTATATACGGAGCAATTATACACGCATTATGCCCGCGAGAATAATTCTAATCAAAATGGTCATACACGTGCTTTTATAATTTTATGCATGTGCATTTAGTGAAAACATTGAATATCAGAGTCGCATTGCTAAATAACACAACATTTGGTATGTCATAGCTATGTGTTTTATATATAAATATATCTATAAATATATAAATACAGAACGATAAAAAGAACATTAAATTATAAGAAATAAAAATTATTATAATAGATAATATATATATATATATATATATATATATATATATATATATATATATATATATATATATACATATATATAATAATTGTCGAATTAACATGGTAGTTCTTTTCATTTTTAAAACGTTTCCCCTCCCCCCCCATATTTCAACAGAGAAAACGTTAGATCAATTTTAGAAATGTCATTATCAATACGATTGTTAGCAAAATTAAACGGATATTTCTTAGGATATCAAAGAATGTATTTGATTACCGGGGATGCTTTTTAAAACGAAAAGAACTTGCGATGTGTATCATTAAATACTCGCTAAAATTAAATTTGGTTGTATCTTTCAGGCTTGTTATTCTCGATACGTTAGAATGCAGATATGACACGGCATTTCTCTGACGAAAGAAGTAACTTTTCTTTGTATCTAACGCTATATGAATATCATATAATTCGCTTTATTAATTCCTTCTTGTAAAACGAATTAATACTCTCACTTCCTTATCATCGTTATCGCGCAAGACATGACAATGTACGCACTGATTACTTTATCGTCCAACTTCATTAAGATTAACGTGTAATTTTTTAATGTGCCTTTTTATAGCTTCATTGGGAAATAAAATGCGATACGTATCAAGCGTAGTTGGTGCCAGCAAAATGATCGTAGTATTCGACGAAAATAACAACAACAACAACATACACGCTCGTAAAATGAGAAAGTGAAGATCTACTCTCCCGATTTTTTCCATCCATTACGAGTTAATCGCCTGCAGACAATCGAACCAGTTGCGCCTGAGAGCATTTCACGTGAACAATTTGCCAGGAATATGCGACGTCGACGCGTGATAATAGCCAGTCGTCGCAAAGTTTTGTGTTCGCGGGATTAGTTCGCGTTAAATACCAATCGAGGATACGCGCGAGTACGTTTGGCGCGTGGCAGTACACGCTGCAGTTTCTATTTTCTACTGTATCGATTTGCACACTGCTGTAGAGGAACTTAAAAGCGACGTGCACGTCCTAGTTGCGTCTATTGTAAATCAAAGTAAACAAGCTCGCCTGAAAAACAATTCTCTCGCGCGAGTCTCGAACAATAGAATTCACCGGAATATCTGCGAAGGAAAGTGCGTTTCCATTTTTTTTTCTTGCACTTTCCGAAGAATGGAAACTAAACTAATGACGTAATCGTTGCGACGCGATAATATCTGCATACTTCGGCTTCCTATATAATCAATCGCTTATCAACTTATCGTTTTTCGAATGAGGTAAGATACGCCTGGAACGTACACTCCATTTCGATCTAATCGAATTCATCATTTTAGAAAGAAAATTATTCTGAAATCCTTATCTTTCACGTGAAAGACTGTAGAACTATTTATAAAGAATTTTTGTCATGGCTACTTTAGATAAAACACAAAAAGATAGCACGCATGTCTTAAAGATATCTAGAAAATATTTAAAAACTTTAACCATCTTTTAGATGTTTTTCAGGTGTCTTTTGACATGCGTGTCTGATATTGCGTGTTATATTTTTCAATGTTTTTGTTAATTAAAAAGAAAAGTTAAAACTGATGTATTTTCCACATTCTTAGAGTAAAACCCTTTCTGAAATGAATGATTCTGTCAAATAACAGATGACGAGGCTGTTCTTGCTTTCTCCATGCGACGACTCTATCGATGAATAACCAACTCTGACACGCGCTAATCGCGTTAGTGCAATATGGACATCACGGAGAAAAGAGTTCAATCTGCGAACCGTGTAATTTTAATTACACCGATGTGTACTGCGCCTCTAACAAACAATCGTTGAAGAAGCGACGCAATTATGTGAAATTTTAAACTTTTGTGCGGAGTTTTTCCGTTTTGTACTTTTAACTATCTTCTATAAATCTAACAAATCTATGAGCTCTATATTACTTGCATTTATAATTATACTGAATATCCCAAAAGCGATATTTCTATCATTCTAATTATTAATTTAATTAAATATTGATTTATAAGCAAAATTGAGAATTATGGAAGTTCTTGGCAAATTTTTTTTTTTTTTTATCTATTCAAGTACCAAAAACGCAAAATATTTATGTTTAATTAAAATTTGCTGTTGTAGAATTTTGTTTTGCAATTTAATTAGTAAAGATAAAATGTTAACGGCGAGATTGAACCGCGTTTAGCGTCGATTATACGTCACGGACACAGATCCATGTAGACCCGCATATGCGCGCTAGCGGCACTCGCTCTAACCACGTCAGGAAATGAAAGTCATTATCTAATATACTTTTATTATTACATCTGCGTGCCGTCATTAAAAGCACTTGCTCCCCCAGCAGCGATCCGTTGCCTTTATCGAGGGATTCTCTCCGTTTCTATGCTTCTTTATTATCATCCACAGAAGCATATATCCGGTTTCGATAATTCAACGGTTTTGATCCAGGAATCTACTTTATTTTCCGTGAAACCTACATAAAAATAAAATAGTTAAAATAAAGAATTTTATTAAACTCAATAAACAAAATACTTTTATTAAAATAATTTTATTAAACTCAATAAACAAAATACTAGCGATATTGATCAATTTATTAATATTATTAACAATTAAAATATTAAATCAACGAATTAAAACTAAAATTCCAATCTAAATAAACTTCAGATATTAACTTAAGCAAAATTTAAACAAATATGTTTCATGTTGGATATTTAATTAATCAATTCAGATATTATTATTATTTATAAATAACAAATTATTAGATGCTGGGCTATATTTTACTATATATAAGTAAAATTATTTTTTATTATTTTATTTTTGCCTGTTTTTAGAAATAATTCAACCAATTGGTTTGAGACTTACAAAAATTGTTCAAGATATCAGTTACAATTAATTAATTAAACAAATTTCAATCAGTTATAGTGTTTATTTTAATGAATAATGTGATTTTTAAATTAACATAAGAACATAAATTAAATTAAAATTAAATTAACATAATAACATAAGAACGATCCCAGTAAACATCGAAATCTTGTAGACATCGAAAAGATATTTTATTCAAGATGTCTTCAAGATATTTCTAAAAGATATCTAGAAGTTATTTAAAAGATGTCTAAAAAAGTTTCGTTGAAGATATCTTTATAGAATATCTAAAAGATATCTATAGACATCTAAAAGATCTCTTAAAAGATATCTTTTAAAATATCTCTTAAAAGATATCTTTTAGATTCCTAAAAGATATCTTTTCGTTAAAAATGTAAGACATCTCAAGACATAGCAAGATATCTTTTAGGGATCTAAAAGATATCTTTTTGTTCATTTGGGATGACATTGTTTTCACAGATCCTTTTCGCAATAGATTGCTTCTCTTGATGTATTTTTATAATGCGATAAAAAAATTATACATTCTTTATTTAAATTTATAAATTTCAGCATCAGACGGGCATACGCTTATCATCAAATAGAAAATACATACAAAAAAAAATACATACAAAAAAAATGTGGCAGTACATTTTTAGAACAGACTTAAAACATTATTCTCAAACACGCCGGTTGTGTACGCGCCAGTATCCATCAGCGGTCGCTCGTTCGACGACGGATCTATAGTGAATGCACATTCACAGCCTACGTATAATACACTAGCTGTTTTGGGAAAGAGTCAGTCTTAGGCAAGATGGCCGGTCGGATGACTTCGGCTTTGTACTACCTCGTGTTGATTTTCCAATTAATCCTGCTTACGGAGTGTAATTATGGTGTGCGATACGGTGACAGAGCGAAACAGTTGCACATCGCGGAGGACAGCGATTCGCCTTACAGAAAGCCGCTGATAATCGAGAAACGGGACACGGACGACCATGAGCAAACGTCATTCGAACGTACGCGTAGGGATGTACCACCGTCGCCGCCGCCGTCACCGCCGCCGTCACCGCCGTCGGAGCATCCGATCCATCCAAATAACAATCCAAACATCACGACGAAGGTACGTGCAGTGCGCGTCGCCGATCGGTTGTGACGGCCTGAAGGCCGCCGTCGTCGCCGTCGCCGCCGCCGCCGCCGCCGTCGTCGCTTAATGCTACGTCGCAGTTCGACCGGTAGCTCGGCTCTCCGTCTTTTTGTCCTGTTGTGAAAAAGCGACAGGAGAAACGACCGTCGCATATGTTCCCGATTTCTCGTAAATAGACGCGTCGCCTACGCACACATACACACACACTTTCCCTTCGCCCTCGCCGTATCATCTTACGGAACTTTTCCCCAATGGACCGTCGCGAGAGCGGGAGAGCGCGCGGCCTTTGTGCGCGGCGCACGGACACGCCGGAGCATAATTGCCGTATTATCTCTCTTCCGGAGTAAATTTAATCAATCTCGGCGAAACGGAGCGTCGCGGCCCGCTCTTGTTATTGACACGCAGGGGTCAGTAACCGGCCCGTATCTTCCTCCCCTTTTTTCTTTCGAAGAAAGCGCTTCCGCGGGCTTCTTCCAAAAAAACGTCCGAGCCCCGCTGATTTTCTAAACAAAACGACCGCCCGTCGGGGGTGCGCGCCATTATTATTTTGGTAGGAGCGCGTCTTCTGCGACATGGCTGGGAGCCACTGTTGTTTTCCGAAATAATATTTATATATAAAAGCAAGTAGTGTTTTTCCACTTATCCATCGTCGAGTCGCGCGCTTAGTCATACACTTCTGCAAATTACCGCGCGGGTTATGCGTATGCACTTGACCATCTATTTTTGTGATAACAAAGGAGGCAATTTGTCATTCGGTTGAACAGATAAGAACTAAGTCGCAAGCGCTTGTCACGCCGCAATGCATCGTAACGTTAAATTACATTTTCACCCTTTCCTTTGTTTTCATTGTTCTGAATTCACTGTACGAACGATATTCGACCATCTATTCGATAAAATCTAATATATTCTAATCATTTTTAACCATAAAACGTCTGCTCGTACGGTGTCGCGTGTACGCTAAATATTTTACTTGACGTAACTTTTCAGGGTCGCTTGAATGGCACGGCTTCATTTCGGGCTGCCTTACATAATTATACAAAAAACCAGACAGCTTACTTTCGCTCCCAGCTTGACTAATAATTGACCTTTAACTATATTCCTTCGTTATCTAAGTTTTTTTTTCTTCAACATTTAAAAACTAATTATGTTGTTTTCTCTTCTAATCTATATTTATTTATACCAAATATTGTATATTTTTACATTTTTACATTTACATTTTTCGATTATATATAATACACATGTTTCTTAAATTTCACGATTTTTTAAAAATTTATCAAAAATTTTTATCTCTTTCGTGCGACTTTGTACATTGCCCGAAGTAATGCGATACAAACTGCTAACACAGAACAAACTGGTCGCGATAGAAGGATTTCCACGAATGATCATGAATGTCTAATGATTCATCGCCTATTACATTCGAATCGCTGTTAATGATATTGTCACGCTGCATGCATATGCATCTTACATTTGCGCATTAGCTTTCAATAAATCGATGCGACGGTTTTTCCGAAGCGGTAATCAAATGTTGCGTATTTGTCTTGTGATTTCACCGTCACGTGTATTATCTGTTATCTCTTATCTCCGATCGTCGTGCGTCTCGCGATGTTTATTTGACTTTACACCAAATTAATCTTATATTGCCTCAGTTATATAAATTTACACGTATTATTTTTTTTTCTTTTTTAATTGTACGCCGAAAATTTCTCGTTATTGCAGGTCAACGCTTTAAATGATTCGCATCAGCAACTGATGGTGCATTGGGTCGGGGAGGGTTCCAACGTAATAATATGTTTAGCGAGGGACAGCACGCCAGTGATGCGCTTCCAAGGAGGCAGATTCTCCTCTCCGACCCATCCCAGCGCCGTGTATATAAGTTACAATTACGGTGACACGTTCGAAAATAAGACTGAACTGTTCAGGGTCTCGTCCGAGCCCGATGCTAAATATGCAGTTGTAGACAAATTCACCAATCATCCGAAATACTATCAACACGTGAGTTCGATTTTACGTGTGAAGGATTCGTTTCTGAAATAAAGAACTTGTTTTTTTTTTTTTTCAATCTTACATTGAAGAATTATATTCTTTCGTTGTAGTGCGTCTTCGTGGATAGTATGAATCAATTGGTTTTTATGACGGCTGATAACGGCAAAACGATTCAAAGATACGCGGTGCCTTTTCACCCGAGTGAGGTCTCGTTTTACGAAGCAGATGCGCGAATACTTGTCGGATTGGACAAAATTGATCCGTCGCGAAAGGTATGAAAAGTGTCGATTAAATTGTGAATTTACTGCGGCCAAATTTTTTGGACAGACGCGATCGATTTTACTTTGGACTTGCATTTTTCAGTTGTGGTTGTCGGTCGATCACGGACAGATCTGGATACCGATTCATCAATTCGTGAAAGCCTTCTTTTGGTCCCCTAGTCGTGTTTTGCTAGTGGAACGTACAGAACCCTCCGGAGCGAATACAATCATGAAGCTGGATATGCGAACCTTTTCTTGGTTCCAACGAGGTTCCAGCGCACTGCGACTAAGGCTTTCCATACGAAAGGAATTCGTTCCCGTCATTCAAAACGTTCAGGATTTCCAAATTAGAGGGGATTATATGTTTGCTACCATGAAAAATCCGAAGGTAAGTTTAGGATACGTGAAACGCCGTACGCCAAACGTGCGAAATCTTTTGTACAAGTGTTGTATTTTCATTCGATTGTCTCTTTCAACAGAATGGAACTTCGGAACATTTGGATCTTCACGTGTCCTACAAAAATCAACCGTTCGTCTTGGCCCACTTCAATTCAGAATTGGATTGCAGAGATTTTCATATTGTAGACGTGTCCAACAATCGAGTTTTTATCTCGGTGTCACACAGCGAAACCATGGTCAATCTTTATGTATCGGAAATTATAGATCACGAGAAAGCCGTGTTCACGTTATCTCTGGAAAACGTCCTCACATTTTTCCCTAACAGCACTTGGAAAGACAGCTGGTTGAAGTAAGTGATGATATAATAAATAATTCTGTAACTACAAAAATTAAATTAGAAATTGTGAATGAATTTTTTTAGTTTTTTTTTTAATTAAAAAACTCAATTTTTAATAAAATTTATTTTTTAATTTTGATTTGATTTTTTCATCAATTTTTACGTAGCGTCCTTGTTGAATTTTATTTTTATTCTTGCTCACTTACGCTTATCTATTTGTGCAGTGACGTGGCTGACGAGACGTTCACGGATCTGTACAAGGTTGAAGGTCTTCGAGGTATATACATAGCGTCGCGAGTCAAAGGGAGTCCGAAGTCAGGATCGATTGCACCGGAACACCTGGAGTCATTGATCACTTTCGATCACGGAATTACCTGGAGCAGCATTAAGGCGCCCGATACGAATCACGAGGGCTATTATATTCATTGCTCACACGTGAAAAATTGCTCGTTACATCTGAGTCAGCGATTCAGCCAGTTATATCCGGTTACGAGATCCGTCACTATCATGAGTTCTAAATCGGCGCCCGGCATAATAATGGCCACTGGCGTGATCGGGGTCAATATGAAAGGTCATCCCGCGCTCTACGTATCGAGAGACGCGGGTCTCACGTGGAAACAGGTGCTGAAGGATTATTACTTCTTCAACATGGGCGATCACGGAGGTTTACTGGTGGCGGTCAAGTATTTCAAGTCGCGCGGAGAGACCCGGGACATATTGTATTCGACGGACGAGAGCGAGACGTGGCGCACGTACGAATTCAACGAGAAGATGCTACGCATTTACGGTCTCATGACCGAGCCTGGCGAGAACACGACGGTGTTCACGATGTTTGGATCGGACAGCGGGCAGCATCAGTGGCTCATAATCAAAGTGGATCTGCGGAACATATTCGACAGGCCGTGCACGAGCGAAGATTACAAGCCGTGGACGCCTTCGAATCCCGATCAACTGGACATGACCTGCGTGCTGGGGCGCAAGGAGATTTATCAGAGACGCTCGGCGCACATTAATTGCTATCAGGGCGTGGAGTACGATCGAACGGTGGCCGTTAAGAACTGTCTGTGCGACGCGACCGATTATCAGTGCGATTACGGCTTCATGCGCGTCGGAAATCCGTATCACTGCATCCGCAACAAATCCGTCAGCGAGTACGATCCTTACGCCGTGCCGTACGAATGTCCACCCGGCACGTTCTACAATCGCACGAAGGGCTACTTGAAGATAACCGACGACGAGTGTGCCGAAGGCATGGCGCGCAACTTCGAGCCCGACCAGATACCGTGTCCGATGAGCGAGCGACCCGAGTTCCTGCTCGTCGCTCAGCGGGAACAAATAACACGAATCGACCTACGCCATGTGGGCAAGCCGGAGACGCTGCCGGTGCATAATCTGAAGAACGTGATCGCTCTCGAATTCGACTTGAACAGCAATTGCTTGTACTGGGCGGATATCGTGAACGATACGATCGGCAGGCAGTGTCTGAATGGCACCAACTCTCCCGAGATTCTCGTCGAGACCGATCTAAGTTCCATCGAGGGCATGGCCTTCGACTGGGTGTCCAAGGTGCTCTACTTCGTGGACGGCGTGAAGATGAGGATACAGATAATCCGCACCGACATCAACTACGCGGGCAGAATGCGCAGAACGATACTGGGTCCGAACAATCTGCAGAAGCCGAGGGGCATCACGGTTCATCCGATGAACGGATACATGTTCTGGACCGATTGGGCGCCGGGCAACGCTTCCATCTCCCGCGCTAATCTGGACGGCACGGATGTGAAACGGCTGTTCGTCAAGCCCACCGTGGAGTGGCCGAACGGAATAACGATCGATCATATCGCCGAGCGTATCTATTGGGTGGACGCTCGAGCTGACTACATCGCCTCCTCGGACTTCGATGGCAAGCGATTCAAGATAGTCATCTCCAACGACAACCAGCACGTGTCACATCCGTTCGCGGTCGCCGTGTTCAAGGACAACATGTACTGGGACGACTGGAAGCAGTCGATGATATTCGTCGCCGACAAGGATCACGGGGTCGGCATCAACACGATAGTGACCTCGCAAATCGCGGGCCTGATGGATCTCAAGCTCTTTGCGCACAGCGTACAAATCGGCACGAACGAATGCGCGACGAATAACACGTGCACGCACATCTGCCTGGGCGCGCCGCACAACAGCCACGTGTGCCTCTGCCCCGACGGCATGGTGATGATGAACGGCAAGTGTCTGTGTCCGGGCGGCAATCCACCCTACGCCAACTCCACGTGTCCGCGCGTGGCCTCCACGTGCGCCGGCAATCAGTTCACCTGCAACAACAACGTGTGCATCCCCGAGTTCTGGAAATGCGACGGCGACAACGACTGCGGCGATCACTCGGACGAGACGAATTGCAACCGCGCCACCTGCAGCCCCAACAACTTCGAGTGCGACGACTCCAAGTGCATACCCAAGTACTGGGTGTGCGATCTGGATCGCGACTGCAAGGACGGCAAGGACGAGATGAACTGCACGTACAGCAATTGCACGGAGACGCAGTTCAAGTGCGACAACGGCCGCTGCATCTCGCATCGCTGGCACTGCGACGGCGACGACGACTGTCGCGACGGGTCCGACGAGCGGAATTGCACCAAGTACATCGAGCCGAGCACGTGTCGGTCCGACGAGATCGTCTGCAAGTCCGGCAACACGTGCATACAGGCTACGTGGAAGTGCGACGGCGAGACAGACTGCGCGGACGGCTCGGACGAGAACGAGTGCGACAACATGGTGTGCGAGCCGTGGCAGTTCACGTGCAACAACAGCAACGAGACCGTCGGGCATCATCGTTGCATATACAAGTCGTGGGAGTGCGATGGCGATAAGGATTGCGCCGACGGTTCCGACGAGATGAACTGCACCAGCTCCAGCGTGCCGCACACACCGGTGTCGCCGATCCTGCCCTCGAATTCCTGCAACGACTGGATGTTCATGTGCAACAACAAGAAGTGCGTGCCGTATTGGTGGAAGTGCGACAGTGTGGACGACTGCGGCGATGATTCCGACGAGATCGGCTGCGGCGGCGGCGGCGGCGGTGTAACAGAGCCGACACCCCTCACACCGACGGAGCAACCGTCGCGCTGTCGCGAACACCAGTTCCCGTGCTACAACGGCGAGTGCATCGAGAACGCGTGGGTGTGCGACGGCTTCAAGGACTGCCCGTCCGGCGAGGACGAGCTGCACTGCGCGCACACGCACATGTCGTGTCGCGAGAGCGATCAGTTTATGTGCCGGCAGGACGGCTCGTGCGTGCCGCTGACCAACATCTGCAACGGCATCGCCGAGTGTCCGGACGGCAGCGACGAGGTCGGCTGCCACATGGATCAAGACGCGAGCCCGGCCGCAACTCCCTCCTGCTACGCCGGCCTCTTCCCGTGCGACCAGACACGCTGCTTCCCGCTCGCGTCCTACTGCGACGGCAATCAGGACTGCTTCGACGGCTTCGACGAAATGAACTGCGAGAAGAACAGCTCGCGCGTCTACCAGGTGCTGGTGATGGGCGTGGACGAACGCGCCGTCAACGACACCAGCCTCTTCCTCTTCTGGTGGATGCCGATACCGTCCAACGTCACGTTCGAATTTCTGCCTTCGATCGCGCGAGTGATGCCGAACGCCAAGTGGACCAACGTCAGCGAGTGGATCGAGGACACGGAGTATCAGTTCAACAACCTCGAGCCGTACACCAAGTACAATCTCACCGTCTACGTGAAGGTGAAGGGCCAGAGCACCGTATTTCCACCGGCCAAATATCTGGTCGTGATGACCGCCGAGGGCGTGCCGTCCGCGCCGTGGAATGTCACGGCTACACAAAAGAACGGCACACACGTGGAGGTCTCCTGGCGGTCGCCTATACGCACGAACGGCCTTATCACGAGCTATCAGGGCTTCGTCACGCCGCCGATACCGCCGAAGGAGTTCACGGAGGAGCAGAAGACCGGCACTTCGGCGATTATCGAGATGCCGTTCGAGGCGGGCACGAACTACTCTTTCTGGATCGTCGCGAAGAATCGTTTGCACACGTCAGCCTCGTCGCACCTCTTCATATTGACGTTTGACGGCTCGGCTAATATCGACAACATCGAGGATCTTCAAGTGATAGGAACGACGAATCACTCCGTCACGCTCAAGTGGAAGAAGATGAAGGACGTGGACAATTATCAGATCACTCCCAGGGCGCCGACCCCGTATCCGACTCTCAAGCCCGTCACGACCACGGATCACACGTTCGAGGTCACGCATCTTGCACCGGGCGTCAGATACATTTTCGAAGTGTGCGCGACGAAGAAAACGTACACCGGCAAAGTCGTCATGATCACCGCGACGACGAACGGCACCCTGCTACCGACGATAGCGAAGCTCGACGCGCAGCTGGTCAAGTCTCAGAGGACAACCGTCAAGCTCACGTGGGATCCGCCTAAGAGCAAGAAGATCAAGTGGCAGTATGCTATTCACTACGCTACCAACATGTTGGACTTCTTTAAAGGTGAGGGTCGCATTTTTTTATACAACAATTCCTTCAATACTCTTTGGATAATTAATATTTCTCTATTGTATTACTATTCATCTGTTCTGCATATTATTAATTAGGCGTGTATCGCTTTATTTCTGTCCTTTGTAACAAGATGTACCTTTGTTTTTCCAGAGTTCAAGCTTCTCACCACAAATCTCACGGCTACGATTAGGGACTTGGAGGCTTGCGAGACGTACGTCTTTGCCGTTGGCGTTAACGGAGATTACGGGGCGGGAGCTTTGAGCCAGCCGATCACAGTCCCGACGTACTTCAACAGACGTGCGCCTCCGAAGAGGCTGAAAGTGACGCAAGCGCAGGATAAAAATGACAGTATAATCGTCTCGTGGACTTCGAGCTGCAAAACGATCGACGAACCGATTAGCTACACGGTAAATGACAAATATTGTATGAAATTTTTCTACAAAAAAAAAAAATAACGTGCGTAGTAATTTCTCAGAGATTTTATTTTAAGAACACTATTGAAGCCAGTTTCTCAATAGTGCGTTTCTAATTGAGATTTTCGTTCCGCGAGAACATTTATCGATACCTTTCTTCTTTTTTTTTACAGATCAACGTCACGGAAATGGTCCTCAACAAGCAGACTATCGTGACGTTGCAGCCGACTAACGAAACTTCCATGAAGCACATATTCAGTTCGATCAAGCACGGCGGAAAGTACAGTATCTCGATAGTCACCGATGTCGAGAATGCTATACCCACGCAACCGTTCATCTATATCGCGCCGCCGATCAAGCCACCCCGTCGGCTCACGGTCTTATGGGATTATACGAAGTACGTGATTTACTGGCAGGAGCCGGAATTACCGGATAAATGGCACTACGAAATCTTGGTGGCCGAGGGACACAACACAACGTTGAACGAGTCGACCGCGAAAATCTTCCAGACCAAAGATCCACCGCCTTACCACTACAAGGATGTGAAAACGCATACGACTTACACCTTCGCCATGCGCGTGGTCACGGATGAAGGATATCAAAGCGCACTGAGCGAAACCTGGAGCACGCAAATTTCAGGTTGATTTTTAACACCGGCTCTCATTCTACGTCCCGCAAAACTCTAATAGGTTTTAATGATAATTTTTATTTGCTTTTTTTCAACAGCGGCGCAACTTCCGGTGATAATGAACACGTCGAACATATTGTCGCTCGCCATACCGATTTGTTTGGTTGTCGTAGCGCTTGGAGGAGCGCTGGCGTATTTCGTCATTCGGCATAGGAGGTTATCTAATAGCTTTACACAATTCGCTAACAGTCACTACGACACGAGACGGGGACAAGCTACTTTCCCGGGCACGACAGATGGCTTAGGTGAGTGATATCTTCATTGATTTTTAAAAATAAGCTAAAAGTGGGATGTAAAAAAATGTTAAAAATTGTTTATTTTTTTTACACAGAAGAAGAGGACAGCCCTGTGATCCGAGGCTTTTCGGACGATGAGCCATTAGTAATCGCATGAACATCACATACATGTAAACAAGATATTTACGGGGAGAGAAGACGTGCCAAGACACTATTAATATGATAATCTTGAATATAGCTAAAATTGTATGATGGAAGAAAAAGTTTTCGTGCAAGTGTCTCGCAACTGAGCGTTAACTATGTCCAATGTTGATTGATAAACAGTTTGCTTAGACCGTTTCCACGAGAGCTTTTTCGCGCCATTTATACATGATACGTTGTAGAAATATGATATATATATGTACATCGTGAAACATAGTGTGTGACTATACATATTGTGTAGTCGGCGAGGCTGCTGCATCTTTAATTCCGGCATAAGCAAACCAGGACAGCTACAGTTTGAAAACCAAGATGCCTGTTGCATGCAGAAACGGCAATTTGTATATAGTGAATATTTTCTATGGATCGATTGTGAGATTTTCGAGATGTCACACATTTGTCGATGCATTTTGAATAATGTAATTTATATATGATCTACGATATATGCGAGGAAAATTTTTTAGTCCGCATCTCGATTCTTTGATGTGAAAGCGAAAGTTTTTCCGCAAACGGAAGGAGTGACGAACTTTTTATTAACAGTTGTTTTTACAAGTGCTCACAGCAGATGCCATAAGCTTTCTCTCATATAGCAAGTGCGTGACCAAAGTAATATCTTTCTTCTAATGTCGCATTCAAAAAAATGCATCAATTGCGTTCACTTATAGCTAATATATTTCTACAATATACCAAATCGTTTACAACGTACCAAATTTATTACAAAGGTTATGTTAGAGATATTTTAATCTTCTAATTGAGTAAAAATTTTGCGGCATTGAAAGAAGTTTTCATAAGCGTGTTTTTTGCGAAAGTGCGATCTAACTTTCGAGTATCGAGTGCGCTGCAGTAAAAGACACGGATAATTCAATAATTATGCCTAGTTATATAATGAAGACGGATTAAATTAAGAAAAAGGGTTAATAATACGATTTAATTATATAATATGCTAAGTATGAATTTATCATTTTTCGATTTTTCTAAAGAAAATTTTGATTTTTCAAAGAAATTTTTTTGTTATAATTATTTTATGATTTCGTTTTATGATTTTTGGAAATTAGATCATGTTTTGAATGAAGAATATTTTAATATTATTGTTACGACCGGACTTTTTTTTCGCGATAAGAGAGTCTTAAGCCGTAAGAAAAGGGAACGTGTTGATGATGCTTTCAGCACAACTGAAATGGCAGTATCGTGATTTTTTAGAGAAGTGTATATAATGTTCAAATGTTCAAGCGTGTGAAATTTCACCGCTTCAATCAGTACTGGGCCATATTCGTAAAAGAATATTAAACATTGCAGTCAGTTATAATTTGCGTGTCAGAATAACTTAAGATTTCATGTGCATACAAACGGTATTCTCGTCGTAACGAGAAAAAAGTCGTTGAATTGTGAAAACATTTTGCTGTATATGAAGCTACACACGCGAGTAATTATTTTATGGCGGAGTCGAACAATAGAGATAAGATCAATCGTATTCTTGATTAATCGTCTTTTTGTTTCTTTTTTCAAATGAAAAACTGCGTAACGAGTTCCTAAAAATGTTTCAGCCAAATCGGTGTTTTTTTCATCTGAAAAACGTATTGTCGAGAAGTATGTTAAATAAGCAGGAAAGCTGTTGGCGAAACGATAACATTTATTTCGAAAATCGGGATTTTATTTTGTGTAATCATCCAAATCGCAGATTGCATAACTTAAATCACGATATCAGAGGGTTGTAATTTGCATTTAAAATACTTTAGGCGTCATTAATGCTTCGCATTTCCGATTTAGGATTTAATTTTGAATTATTTAATACTAAGAACACCGGATGAAAAGAGTACAGAAATCACAAGCGTTCTCTTCTAATGATTCTTATCAGTGGCGCACTCAAGATATTTTTTCGGAGGGGGATTTAAAATTCACACACACACACACACAAAATGAAACAATATGACCAAAAGTTAGGATAATTTTATATTGCACACTAAAAAATATAAAAATGTTACATTGTTTAATAAAAAATACAATTTATTTTTATAGTAGCATAATTATAAATTGATATTGAGCTGGAGAGGCTATCAATTATTTGTGTGCAAGGATATTGGCGTGAATTTTGAATTATTAAAATTGTGACTCTAATTAATAACAGAGAAAAAATACAAATGTTTCAACGCATTTTATTTAACTACATATTTTTTACTTTTTGCTGTTGAGTTAATAAAAAAATACAGCATATTAAAAATTTCGGGAGGGGTTTTGACCCCCAAAACCCCCCTCTTGGGTGCGCCACTGATTCTTATTGAAGTAGGACAAAATGACTAGGATTAAAAATATTAAAGATAAAAAAGTTACGTGCAATAAAATATTTAATCGGAAGTGTAAGGTAATTGACGTCTATTGCAACGCATAATATTTTTTTTACTCTTTACTATTTTTATATGTCCGACGACAAAAGAAAAGGTAGGAAGGATGCGCACGAATTGGCGGTGGATCAACGAAAAGACATTTGAACAGTATTATTGAGGCTTGGTTTTCTTTTGTCATTTTTGATGCGTCATTACTGACGTCAGATCATCGCCTTGTGAATGAACTTAATTGTAAAAAATTTCCCCGCAGGTATTCGATTATATTGCGCCCAGCCCATCTAATATCGACGGTTAATCTATTTCTCTCTTCTTTTTTTTCGCTGCTTCGTTGTCAGAAAAAATAACGATTAAATTTCGATGTTTTTAAATCTGTAGTGAAAAAGCGACGATTAGAAGATAGCGGATTTACATGTAAATCTCAAGGATTATAACGACAAGAGACAGTGATATATAATATATATACATATATATATATAATATATTTACGTGTAAATATATAAATAAAGTTAAGGCACAGAATACTGTGGTTTAATATTTTTTTGCTTTTTTGTCAATTTGCTTTGACACAGATACACGCATTTTAACGTTTTTTTTCCAACAATTTAATGATACGCGCATGTTGCATTATCTGTCAATTTTTTGCACTTATTACTCTTATCTATGCAATCTATTTCAATTTTACTGCTGAATTTTTTAAAACTTATTTAAAAATCTTTTACGATTGTTCGTATCGCATAAGCTTCCACTTTCAATCGCTTATAACTTTGATGTAGCTTTCGATGCGACATGCAATAGCGTATACTTGAGAAACGGTAGTTTTTTTTTCTGCATGTTTATCGTTTAATCAAATTCGTGAAATTTGACTTAATGTGGCGGATGTTCCGTGCCATGGCCCGATCGTCGAAAAGTAGAACGGCAAAAATGATTGTTTCGCTAGCTAAAACTCGTTACAAGCTCCTCCCGTGAAAGGGGAGGTGAAAGACTTCCGTTACCATTCTAAAAGGCAATTTGGAAGTTTGTGACCCGTTACTTGATTTAAGTAAACGGCATGGCACCGGAAATTCAGCACCATCCTCTTCGCAGTTTAATTTCTGCATTGTTACGCAAATGCGGTCGAATTCCGTATCGCGAACGCCTTATCAGCGCGAACTCTAACGCGATTATATTCATCAACGATTTTCATAATATAACCACTGTATTCTGAATCACATAGATATAATTAAGGACATCATACGATTTTTGGGAAATGTTTTGTGCATTTTTTGACGAATCACGGTCTCTTCGAAATCACGTTTCTGATGTAATTGAAATCCTATTTGCGCTATGAAAGCAGAATAAATATTGTAAAAAAAAAGACAAATAAAATAGATTTTTGGAAAACTTCAGGAGCTTTCCTTAGATCTTATGTTGGAATTTCTTTTCCCAAAATTGCCCCCATTAAGAATACACGCTCCTCTGAAATCGCGCGCATAATTTCGCGATAAACTTTAATATCTCAATTCATGTGAAGTTGTGCGCGGAGATAAACATTTCGAGATTACAACTTCGGCGCTACGAAATACCGTTTACCTTCCACGCAACTGTATTCGTTTTTATTACTATCTTCCACCGTACATTCTGGTCATCGTATTCGCTGCGTAATTTCATACACTTTGTATTTTATCATTGATTAACATTGACCTGGACTATACCGGGAAACTTGGAAAATGATGCATTACTATCATCATGTATCGTACGTATATAAGTGCCGCTTCCGAGCTCTATGATCTCGTGGGAGTCGAGGTGATCTATGACATAAATATACACAATTTTAGCGAAACAGCGGAAAACGCGCCGTCAGAAGAAATTGCAATCCCACATTCTGTGCAATCAATTTTCATATCATTATTGGCAATATTAGCTAAGTGTATTCGTTAAGTATTTGATGGTTGAATAGATCTTCCTCAAAAATAAGTGCAAATATAAATCTCGGTTTTCAAGGCATCCAGCAATTATGTCAGTCCAATTATCGCTGATTACGGGAATCATATTTTCTCGCAAAATGCATTAGACAGCAACCATTTGTTCGTCTCGCATTTCCTTCTGCGTCCGACGGAGAAATATATGTATCCTGAGTAGAGCCAGTTCCCGTAATTTATTCGAGACTCATAAATTCTTTACAATCTAATTTATCGTAGCAGGTCATTGGCTGCGTGTTCCACGGAGGACGTCGCGCTAAACGACGCGGCGCGCTATAACGCGTAAATTCGGAACACGCGTGGAGTAACCACGCGCTCATGGTACCGTAATCATAATTGTTACCTTAATTACATGCGGCTAGTATGCGTACACGCGCTCTTAATCTTACTTCCAGATCATTTAAACGGCTAAATCGTTTCGCGGTACGAAGCGCAACCAGCGCTGACGGTTACTCTTCTTCTTGCGGCGGAATAGCATCTCGCTAAATGGATTGTTTAACGTTATACAAGTTGCAAGCGCTTGGTAATAAGATACAATTATGAAATTCAAATAGTAACTCATTTGATAAAAAACAAAGAACTTTATGCTTACGTTCTATCGCTTTTATTTACAAACGCGAGCAATAAGCGTGCGATATAAATTGACAGTGAACTGGAGCGAAGAAACAGCTTTCTCTACACTTCGAATTTTATTTGATTTCGAAAAAGAAAGAAATGTGGAAAACACGTCGAAAGACGTTTATTTAAAATTATGATAAACATAAAAGTAAAAAGAGCACAATCGGTAAAATATATACGATCTAACGGATCTCGAAAATATATTATTTTGGAAAATAGTAGATTGTTTTTTTTTTTAAGCTTCTCTGTTGTCCTGAAAGCGATGTCAGAAGGCAGCTTCATTTTCCGTCCAGCAAATACAGTTATTAGTTGGCTTATTATTAAATCGATTGAAGAGACGTGATTGTGTATTATTACGGATGCTCCTCGCCGCATTGTTGGGCTCTCTATAATTAAAGTGACGATTTGATTGTATCGGGTGAGGCTTTTCGCGCGGCGAAATTAAGACGAGACCCGTATTTAAATGCGCCTCGCGAGCAATTACCAAGATTACACCGTCGCGATCTATTAAGATGTTCGCGTTGATAAACTACTGTTATTTCGGTCGGTTCTTGAATTCGTAATGAGGTCCTCGCTTTTGACGCCCACCGCGCGCGAAGACTATTGAACTAATGCTGGCCGCGCTCGCGTGAAATTTTGGGCGTCGGGAAAAAGCGTGCAACGCGCCGGAACGAAGCAGAGACTGCTGAGACCCGAGTGACAAATAATGTCGGATGTTAATTGTTGATATCTTTGCAGGATTACCGTGGAATTTCCATATTACACTGGCTGATTAGCATGTTACAACTGTTGCGCATATCAGGCGTCTCTCGTTGCCGAACCCTCACCCTCGGGGAATAATGTTTTCGCAGCCTTACGTATCGGACGAACAACACTTCCGCTCCGGCGGAACGCGTATATGCACAAATCGAGGTCGCCGTCCTAGAAAATGTTGAGTGTTATCACCACTCGAGCGCGCGCTTCGCGTGAGAATGCCCTTTTTCAGGTGGAACCTTTGCAGTGGTTTCTCTACTGTCTGCAGAATTTCTCACGACGAATGACAGGTATTTTG